GCGATGTAATAAAGTCTTTGCTTTCAACTATCGGAAACAAAGCTGCTTAAAACCAGATTTCAGAACTGTACTTTCAACCTTTAGGTCCATTGGGCTTTTTATGCATCCCATTTCTGAACAAGAACAGAAAAGACAGTTGAATCTGAGGAAATGGTTTCTAGAGTGAACTGAAGAATACTGTAATGGGCATTTTATTTTGAAAGTAAGGGAAATTGTTGAAAATTATACAGCTTCACTTGCTATCGCACTGAGAAGAGTCTATCTTATATAGAATTTTATATCTGCTAATACACCTATACCTATCTCTAATAACATAAAATAACATAACATAAAATGATCCACAACTTTAAATCTCCTACTATTCTGAGATTTGCAAGGCAATGACATTTAAATAACTGATTTTTTTACAGGAAAGAAAAGGTATAATACTATTGCTACATCACCACCACCCATTTTATACCTTATTGTTTGAGTTACTAGTTACATTGAAAGACACCTCCCCACCATACACATTCCCATTGCTTTATCCCTCCCTTCCCCTCCCCCAACATCCTGTGCAGTAGAGGCCTGTGTTTCTTGACAGATTTCTAAGGAGGTCTGAAAAGATAATGTCAGCTTTTGTTTACTTCTTCGTTTTCACATTTAAGATATGAGATCAGTACCAGGATAAATATATAGAGCGACCTGCAGTAAATCTAGTTAACAGCAATGGAAGAGCGTATTCTGTAGGCCTTGCAAAAAAAAAAAAAGGGCAAACGGCAAAAAACTGAACAACCACTTCTAGCTTTATCTTTATTTATTTATTTATAAAGGTCACCTTTGGGTAGAATGGATCATTTTATTATTGCAAAAATGTACATTTGAGCAAAAGGAGTCACATTTCTTATTGAAGATAAATGTTCTTAGCAGAATTAAGGAGCAAAGCTACTAAAACAATAGTGATCCTGCTGATGAGCAATCAAGAAAAATAAGAAAAAAGTTCTTGTTGCACTTTCAATTACTATTTATCATTTAATGTCAATGGTTCCTCTTTGGCCTCAGATCAAAACAGGGACAAACTAAACCATAGCTGACGGTAAACAAAGAACTGGGGAAGACTAGACAGCTAAGAAACTGCCCTTTACCTGAAGTAGAGTACAAATTCCTTGATGCTCTTTGGTACAGCACCAAGCACTGAATTGGCCAAAGATATTTTGCTGCCAGGACAAAAGAAAGCTTAGTAATTTAAGGAAAAGTTTTTGCTTTTTTTAAAAAATAATTCTAAGTAATGAACTCTTCTATTCCACTTAAATTGAACATTATGTGTCAATATCCACCACCTCAATTGAAAGCATTACACTATCTGGACGAGCAGCAGGATGGATTCTAGGCTGCCCACAATAATGTACCACAGCAGAAGGGAAACGGGGGGGGGGGGGGGCTGCTTCAGGATCCCTCCTCAGCAATTCCCATCATCATCTGACAAAACTGGTTGACTAATAATGAGGTTGCACCAGTTGTATTTTGCAGTCAAGAAGAAAGCTGCATTTAAATATGAAGCAATGTTCCTACTTACCCTGATCTCATTGCGTCGGATCTCCACGTCACATACTGAGTGCCCTTGGTGTGCACCACTGTAGTAGCAACAGAACTGGCAAACAGCAACTTGTTCAGCTTCGCAATGATACAGTCGGTAAGCATTGTGCTGGGGGCAACTCCAAGCCCTGACGTCATCCGCCTCCACCAGGAGGTGCCCACGTGCTGTAGAGGGCTGTTGCAGGTGTGTCTGAACGTGGGATTGACAGCATGGAGCTTCACACCTTAGACAGATCTTCTGTGCAGGCAAAGGTGGCCCACGGCGGCAGAAGACACAATGCAAGACTGAGGGAGTCTTTTCCAAATTAAGAGAGTTGAATTTTTCCACAATGTTGGTCAATTTTAAGTTCTTTTCAAGGTTGGGCTTCTGGTTGTAGGCCTGATTACATTCAGGACAACGCACTAGCCCCGACTCTTTGGCCCAAGCCTCTCCTATGCATCCCCTACAAAAATTGTGCTTACAAGGAAGTTGGACAGGTTCCACAAAGACATGCAGACAAATAGGACATATAAGCTCCTCTTCAAAACAGTTCTTCCAGTTTTCAGCCATGTCTCAGCCAGATCAGAACTTTCCCTTTAATCTCTTTAAACAGTCAGTTTTTGGTCTACTAAAGCAGATGATGATGAGTTTCCACTTTTGCAACAGAAAGGCCACTAAGTTGCTAATGAATCAAAAAATCAAGAATGCAATTAATGTGGATTTCCTAAAATTTAAAGTAATATATTCCCAACAAGCCCATTTGTATTAAATATAATTAACAATCAGTACTAAAATTGCAGAACAGATACTTCTAAAGTTTGAAGCCAAACTTTCTTAATTCTTATAAGGTTTTTACTTCTGATTCTGAAAAGCAAAAGTAAAACTTACCGAGAATTGAAAAAACTCCATACAAAATCCAGAAGGAAGTCCAAATGCCATATAAACCTCCTATATTAAATATTCCTGATTATTACTTTCTGACCATTTAATATCTGAAAGGAATTTGTATCTCTCGTGACTAAATTCAAGCCTCCCTTTTCAATTATTTTTCCTCTGTAAGAAATTAGAATTTGAGTCTTTAATTGAATCATTAAAAAGCTGGAAATAAATCCATATGCAAAGGGCAGGAGGAGCAGCTAGTTTTCTAATGCAGCTGAATGGTGCAAAAGGATATTTTTCCTTGGCTTTGGGACAGTGCAATCGCAGTAGGAAGACGGTCAATCACTCAGATGAAATTCCAGCCTAGAGCCAAAAGGACCCTCCCATTCTTTGCTCTTTTTACAAATAGGAATGAAAAGAAAAATACTTTAAAATGTCTACTATGAAGAACAGTAATAATCAGAGACAAATTCAATGAAAAAACAACCTATTCTAATACTCTGTGGAATTCTGTTTTTAGGATTTGCCTTATTTCTAACCTTTCATAAGACTAAGGTGAAAACAATACTCCCAACTCCAAAATCCTCAGCCTTTTGGAGAGTGATGGTTTGCTCTCGCTGGAAGGAAAACAAGTATGCCTTGATCAAACTGAAAAGGAATTTCTCAACTGCTAATGAAAAGCCCAGACCCCGCCTCTTCCCCTTTGCTTCTCTGTTTTCCCTTCTGACATGAAAGCTATTTCTCCTTTTGGAACCAGCCTGCAAGGGGGTGGGAGAAGAGGGAGACAGACAAGAGCTAGAAGGGAACTGCTGAAATGTACAATTCCAAGAGGACCTACTCAGTCCTCAGCCATTTTGAGTTGGTTTTATTTTTAATTTGTGGGATTTAGGGGAGAGAAATAAGAAACAAACGTGCAAAAGACAAGGGAGGGGAGCTGGTGAATGGCACCACCCTGCAAAGTGAGTCCCTATGGGGAAAAGAGAGAGAAAAACATATAGGAAGGAGGACAGAAGCGGAGTGTTCTAAATTGGGTTTATATAGCTGCAGCTGCTGTCTCTTTTAGTTTTTATTATCAGATCAAAGAAACCCCTACATACTACTTGCAATCATCTCCAGCCATCTTGGGTCCCTTCAGTCCCCCTTTTAAGTAAAAAGGAATTTTTTAAAAAATATATCCGTATCTACACCTCTCTTCTTCAGTTCTCTCCCTCAGTCACAACAGAACGAGCTAACAGACCAACCGATCGGACCTGTGTCACATAAAAAAGAAACAACAGGAAACCCAGCCACGATTTTAGCCCTAACAGAAGGAAAATTAAACCGGGGGAGGGGGCTACTATCACCACACTATCGCACACAACGAAGGCAAGAAAGAATATGGGAATTCCGGAAGAGGAAAATAGGGTGATAAATTAAATAGCAGGTCCATTTATCGATTAAGATCCAGTACAGAAAGCCTACATGGATTTTCAAAAATCGTTTCCCCATTCAAGGCAGAGGAGTGGTGAATCTAAGCTAACTAAGCAGCTCTGCCTGCTTCGCAAAAATTTCCTTTCCCCCCCCTCACAGATACCAATTAAAACCTAACCCCCTTCTCCCCTCCTTCCCCTCTTAAGATCTGCAATATAAAGCAGGTCCGAAGTAGGGAGTGGATGGCTCAACAGAATCAATTAAATGAAATATGCTGAGCAGATCGAAAGGGTCGCTATCAAGGTGAAGGGGAGCAGGGCGCCGGAAAGAGGCAGAGATGCTGCTGCCTCTTCCCCCTCCGCTTCTCCCGGGATGGCGAAGGCGCCTTAAGGGTCGAGGTGAACGAGAGGAAGAACCGGAGTATGAAGGAACTCAAGGGCGGAAAGATGACTAAAGATCAAGGGCGCAACGCAGGATTTCCCCCAAACCCCTCGGCTTGGATTAAAGGAACAGGAGCTCAATCCGAGCCCAGCTTCTCGGTTACCCAGCGCCAGGGCCCCTTTAACGCGCGATTGTCAATCGATCAATCAATCGACTCCGATGAATAACAAGCGTGGAGCCTCCAGAAGCGCAAGGACAGACAAAAAAAAAAAAAAAAAGGAGAGAAGGGGGAGGGGAAGGAATCGCCGCGCAGTCCGGAGAAAGCCGCTGTCCTAGCTCGGGCCCTCTTGCTGGATCCAATCCCTCCTTCCTGCCGGCTTTGCTCCCACCCTAGCCGCAATCAGCGCCAGCCATTCGCTCCCCAGCTCGGTAGACCTTCGACGGCGACGATGGCTGCTGGCGCTGCTCCTGCTGCTGCTGCCGCCGCCGCCGCCGCCGCCGCGCTGCTCCTCAACCCCTTCTCCAGGGCCTCACGTGACCGCCACAATTTGATACATTAAACACAACGCGTCCGGCCTCTCTTAAAGGGGCAACGGCGGCTTCGGCTTTAGGCCGGCCTTACAGGCCTTTCTCGCCTGTTCTCTCCCCGCCTTCCTACAGTACTTACTGAGCGAGCTGGGACCGCTAGGAGGCCCGTTGCCGTGCCTGAGGAGAGCCAGCCATTGCTGAGCTCCCTTCTCTTCGCTCGCCTTTGCTGGATGTCACGGTATGACTGAGTCATAGTGGGCTGCTCCCGCCAGCCTCAAAGGGAGGGGAAGAGCGTGGCTGGAGCTGCCAATTGAATAGGCGCAGGAGGCTTTCTTTTCTTCCCGGTGCCGGCAGCAGGGCGTCCCAGCTGGGCTTATCCGGGGTGGCCGTTGCAAAATTCAGCGGATGGCACAGATAAAAGGAAAGATGCTCGCTGGGGTCCCAGAGGCTTTGAGCCTCGGGTTAGCGATGCCGGGGGTTGAACCGGGATGGCTTTGCTTGCCAATCGGGGTGTTTTCAGCCCTGCTGCCCGTGGCCTTTCCCAGCCTTTGAAAAGGAATAGGGTGTTGTAGCTGCTTGCCAATACTGTAAGCTTTTTTTTTTTCCCCTGATCGAAGCGTGGCTCGGTTTTGAACGCCGTTGGTGAATGACTACTGCTAAAAATACCAGGTGAACAAAGAAAAACGACACCTTATCTACAATGCTAAAACTTGCAGCTGATGCCTCGTCTTGGAAGTCCTAACAAACCGAGGAGTGTATTTGAAATTCAACACTGCTGTGCTATCGCCTCTGGTTCATGGAAGACATCATCTTTTATGCTATTCCATCATTTAGCTTTGATGTATTGCCCTCATTGCGCCATATCCTAGAAATCGTTGGATGTGGGAGAGGTTGGGGAAGTTAAAAAAATCACTGGGTTTCCTATGATTGGAGTTCACTTGTTATAGTACAGATATGAAACTGAGTAGGAATCAAAAGAATGTGCCCTCTACTAAAGGGACAGCTTGAAAGGAAAAGGTTATCACAATTCTTTACCTGAGGACATGTTATTCCCCTTGGAAACTAACTTGGTTTCTGTGTTTTTTTTAATGAAGGGAGTGAAGATAAGGCTTTTCCTCATGCGGCATCCTTATTCAGTGTCATATATTTTTCCAATGCTAAGACTTATTTGAGTGGAGAGCATAGTGGATTACAGATGTTTTATTAAATTTAGCACAATTTCTTTTTTTGCTTGCCAGCTGAAAAACCTCCCTAAATGGCTTGTAAAGGTTGTAAATAAGAACGTCTCTGCCTGTAGGCTTAAAAGGAAGATACAGGTTTACACAACACACTGAGTCACAATTACTTTAACTATGATTTATTAAATAAGATACAATAACCTGGCTTTACCAAACAATCAAATCATCGTTTAGACATCACATTAATCAAGAATAAACCAAACCACCAGAAGCTGTAAGCATCTGATATATTCTTCTAGATTCTTACCTAAAGTTTGGAAGCACTAGTTCAGATGATGAATCTGGATATAAGCACAACAGATGTGTTGCTGCTGCTGCTTTTCTCTCTGCTGGCCTCAGCAATGGCCACTGGTAGCTAGCAATAGGAAACACTATTAAAACTGATAAACTGGAGCTTGGTTAACTGCTGCTTGATACTAGCTTTGATGAAGGTTGATATAAACTGTGTTGTCATGTAGCAGTGAACAAGTATATCTGATATGTCTGCATGTTTCATATGTTAAGTGATATCTAGTACTTGATTCCTTGTATCTGGATCTAGAAAACAAAGTAGAAGGAAAGATCTAACTACAGAAGGATCTGTAAAATAGTTTTTGCCATTTTCCCACTCAACTGGTTAACTCTGCTGTGACATTTTCTATTGGATGTTCCAGCATTACTTTATTTAGAGTGGTTTTAGCAGGCATTCAAAACCAATACAGTTCATAACACTTCAAGTTTAGAAGAGGCTTTTGCTGTTTCAGGAAAAGGCCTGCATATTCCCAGGTAATGGCATGCCTGACTTCATATGAGAAAAGAAGATATAGACAGATTTTGTCAGCACTTGCATGTACTCCCTCTGTGAGTATATTGAGCATTTACATTTGGCCACAGGGAGGAGTAGAATTTTCCTCGCTGTGAGAGGCACAGTTCTCAGTTACAATTTCTGGATGACATGCAGAAGTATTCCAAGTATGCTTCATTCACTGGTGGCAGCTGCATTTACAGCTCACTTATACTTAAATATTGCAGTTTTCCACCTGTGTGGATGTAGGGTAGGTGAAGCAAATAAGTTTTCTCTGAAGAAGGAAAAAGAGACAAACACTATTAATACTGCAGAGCTATTACAAATATCCAATTATATTTTGAATGACTAAATTGTTACTCTTTTAGGACAACTTTTTCTGCAATAGTTGGCATTACTGTCAGCTTTTGAAAACTGAGAATATGCTCAGTGATCTTTCAATTTTGCCAGGGTTTTTTCTGTTGTAATTAATGGATTGGATTATTTGAGGGGAATAAGAGCCTATTATCTACAAATAATTTACTAACTAGAAATCCATCTGATTTTTGCTATCAACTGTTCTTACAGGGAGAAGAGATAAAATAAAATTAATATTGAAAGCTATGATCTTTAGATCCTTAATCCAGTTCTGTAAAAAAACAAATTACTGCAGCTACATTTTCTATTTTGAATGTTAGAAAATATTCAACAGAATTTTTCATGGTGCCTATTTCTTCTATTATTTGAAGATTGGTGAATTTCCCTGGGGTTGGGTGCGGGGGAGTGAATAGAGTAGTAAATCAGTTATCAGAACCTTCCTGCCAATATTATCTGCAGAAGCTTTTCCATACCATGTGAGAAAAGCTAGTGAATCTAAATCCTAGAAAATAGGCAGGGTGGAAAATATTTTTCTAAAGCATAAGGCATAGGACCTAGTTATCTTCGAGACCGCCTGCTGCTACCGACGACCTCCCACTGACCTGTGCGCTCCCACAGAGAGGGCCTCCTCGGGGTACCATCAGACAAACAATGTAGGCTGGTGACCCCCAGGGGGAGGGCCTTCTCTGTGGGGGCACCTACCCTCTGGAATCAGCTGCCCCCAGAGATAAGGAGAATCCAAGACCTCGGTGCCTTCCGCCGTGCCCTTAAAACTTTCTTTTTCCAGCAAGCCGGGCTGGTTTAACAGATTTTTTAATATTTTTAAATTTTTAATTGGTCTGTTATCTTAAATTGGGGCCAAATTAATATATATCCTTTTTACTGTTTTTAATGTTTATATTGTATGTTTTTTATCTGGCTGTACACCGTCCTGAGTCCCTCGGGAGAAGTTGCGGTATATAAATTCGAGATAAAATAAATAAATAAATAAACAAATAAACAAACTAATTTTTAAATTATTGAAAACATGTTAAAAACTCTCCTGTTTATGTTAATGGAATAGGAATGGAATAGCATTGCATTATTAGATGTAATATATAGTACCAGCAAGAAACATGGTAATTAAGATTAAGTAAACTCTTAATTAAAAGAATAAAATTAAGCAGTCTAGTTGTAAATGACGTGAATTAGAATGAGTAGAATATGTATCTTCAGTACATCAGACTGTGGAATGTAGAAGGAGCTTAAAAGAAATAGGTTTTTCCTAAATTCTTATTATTTTTCAAATGCATCAAGGATAGAAATTATGTTTCTAATTCATGCTTGCAATCTGGTCTCTACACAATGCTAAATGGAAAATAGAATAGTGCATTATCTGAAATTCAGGGGAAAAAATTGGGGTTTTGCTACGGTAGTTAAATGTGGGGCTCATGATCAGCAAACACAAAGAATACAAAAATATATAGATTAATTTATACATATAAATTCAAGTCTGGGGCGAATGAAAATTAAGAATAAACTCTTTTGTTTGTATTGCTGCACACTTTGAGGCATGTTATCGCAAAATATTTTCTGGAGCTAATATGTGCTTTGTACTCTATTCTGTAACTGATTGTGGGGATACTTACCCTATAGCAAGACTTTAACAATTACTAAGATGCTATGTGTAAGGCACTCTAAACATATACAATGTGTAATATGAAAGCTTAACATTATTATGTTATTATATTTTGTACAGCCATGTATGTAATGAGCATCAGTTGCTCAGATTAAATATCTGAAATAAGAGCTTAGTTGCAGAAAGCTTATGCAACCACAAATGTGTTAATTAATCCTCAAGGTGCCATAGAACTCCTGGGCTGTTTTAAATTTCATATAGGGTTCTATAGAATGCCAGAACTTGCGAGAAATATTCTTTACTCCCTTTTTCCTGGATTGACAAGATTGGTTGCCAGCATTTATGCTGTATGAGTATACTGCTGTGTTTTTCCCCCACAAATTATAATTGAAAGATTTTCCCCATTTTGTCTGAATACAGGTAGTCCTTGAGTTACGACCGCAATTGAGCCCAAAATTTATATTGCTAAGTGAAACATTTGTTACGTGAGTTTTGCCCCATTTTACAACTTTTCTTGCCACAGTTGTTAAGTGAATCATTTCATTTGTTAAGTTAGTAACATGGTTGTTAAGTAAATCTGGATTTCCCATTGACTTCTGTTTGTCAGAAGGTCACAAAAGCTGATCACATGACCTCAGGACACTGCAACCATCATAATTATGAACCACTTGTCAAGCATTTAAATTTTGATCATGTGACCAAGGGGATGCTGCAACAGTCGTAAGTGTGAAAAATAGCCATAAGTCAGTTTTTTCAGTGCTGCTGTAACACTGTGTCACTAACTGTTGTAAGTCACTAACTGTTGTAAGTCAAGAACTATCTATATTTGGAACTCCAAACAATATTCCTCAGAATGTAGTAAATGTTTTTGGTCTGTAAAAGATTAAAGATCAGTTAGTTGCATGGGGTTTAGTATTGTTAATATGCTGATGATCTCTACTCTATGCCAGGCATGTGATGCTGTTCAGGTGCCTGCTCAGTAGACTATAAGGACTTGGATGGGGAGAAATTGTCTATGACTCAATTCTAGCAAGGCAGAGTGGTTATGGGTTTTTTATTGTCTGTGGTTAGGAGAGATGACACTTTGATACTGGAAAAGATAGCACTCCCTCAGAAATGGTACGTAATTTTGAGGTTCTCCTGCTGGAAAAACCGGTGACAAGTGTAATACTAATAATCACCATCTTGTAGGCCAATTGCTCCCATTCCTGAACCTCATTGGATTATTGCAATGCACTACATGAAGCTGCCCTTGAAGGCCCATCTGGAAGCTGTAACTGTTCCAGATTGCAGTGGTGCCTGTAATCATCGTCCTGATCCTGGTGCGGTGGTTACCCGACCTGATCTGCCCACGGGCGGTCTGGTGGTTCCGGCTGAGGTGCCCCTTCATCCAGTGGCGGGACCTCCATCACAGTTGCCTGTTGTCCAGCCCCCTCCAGAGGTGACCATCTTGTTCACCCATATTACATTACTATCGCATGAGTTGCACTGTCTCCCACTTGTTTTCCAGGTGCAATTCAAGGTGCTAGTTATTACCTTTAAAGCCCTGCATGACCCAGCTCCAGCTTACTTGTAAAACAGTCTCTTCCACTAGGTCAAATAGGCCAAGCATGCTCCAGGTCCCTTTCCTCAAATATCATCCTCTGGTAGTACCTTGGAGGCCTGCTTTCTCTGTAGCCATCTTGATTCTTTGCAGTAGTCTCCCTCCTGAGATTTGGGAGGCCCCTACATTAGACAAGAATGGAGCTGATTTGTTTACAGTACAAATAGTTTGGCACCTGGAGGAAAGAGTTTGATTTGTTGTTTTTATATTGTTTTCATTGTAAGGCACCTAGGATCTCTGGGTGAGATTGGCAGACAGGAAAGAGATACAGACAACCAAAGTGTACAAGAGGACAATCGAGAATTTGAGAGACGGCATTAGAAAGAATGAGTTCAGTAAAGAGGCTAAGAAAAACAAAGTCAGCTTCTGCTATATTCAAAACAGTTACTAACAGTAACCAGCTGGGCATGTAACTGCCCTCCCTTGTTAATCAACATAGCGTCCTGGTCCTCAACACAGATGCTAATCTAGGTCAAGGGACCATGCTGCCACAGAAAGTCTGAAAATCAGGCCTGATGAAGACAACAGAGAGAAGACACTCTGTAACAGCAGAGCGGGCATAGACCACAATTTGGTAAAGTTCCTTCTCATTTTTCTGAAATTTGTGCACACTATTTTTGCAGTAACTAGCTATTAGATCTAGTTTATCATTAAAGAAAATAGCTTTTCACATCATGATTTGGCTTTGCATTGATGTGGAAAGGTCAGCCTATGAAATAAAGTAAGAAAAAGAGCAAAATCTAATTTGATGGGATATCATCTCAGAACAAGGAAGGTGAAGACACTATGAAATGAAAGTGCTTTCCTGTTTATAGAAACATATACAAATATCAAAAACAAAAATCTTTTTGTTCTGTATCCTATACTCATACCAGTAGTACTAGAAAGATGAATGCTCCAATTTTCCTCAGACACAAAATCTCATTTTTTCTGCATTTTCATATGGTTTCACATAATACAATATTAGTTAAACAAATAAAAAGGCTTTAGGTTCATCATAAGGAATAATTTCAATATTTGGAATTTTTTGCAGGGCTACTAATAGGAACAGCTAAACCTCCAAAGATATATTATGTTACACTTTATTATTTCAATTTATACACCTACCCATCTCATCTCAAAAACATGACTCTGGCTGACTTAAAAATTAAATTAAATTGTTTTAAATTAAAAAACAATATCAAAATATCAGAAAATATACCTATATATATATAAGAAAACTAAAATCATATTTTTTAAAAAAAAAAAAACCCATACACAAAATTCATAGCTGAAATAGTTGAGGCACTAGTTTACTGCAAGAAGTTAATTTATCTGTGTCAGTGTTAGAGGAAAGTAAGTTACTAATTCACCGGTACTTAACTGGGTCATGATCCCAATTGGGGATGTCTTGAAAATATAAATCCTGTTGTTTTTTAAAGCTCTATCTGGGTGAATAGACTTATTAAAATGTGCATGTATGAATGAACTGTGATTACTCATTGAAGTTTACTGTCTTCTTGATCAGGTGATGTGCTGACAGCCGATATTGTCACAGCCTCAGACTGCCTAAACCTGTTTCCCACCTGAAAATTGCCACAAAGACAGTCCTGGTAGAATTGCTGTGATGTCACAAAATGACATACTAACAAATGCTACAGAACTTCTGAAGTGCAACTGTTTGGAGAAGAAAGTGATCTGGGTATATGTAATTGGAAAGTCCCAATTATTTTATAAATGATTCATCCTTTTCTTATGATGGTCATAGTCATCTAGATCAGTCATTTAATTGAACATGCCCTTTTCAAATTAGCCTGATGTTTTATTTCTCTTTTTAATTTGTAAGCTTTGCATCTCACTTTTTATTCAGGAGATCAAGATGATGTTATAATATTCCCTCTTTCTATATTTCCCAACACCGATACCCCTGTGAGTTAGGTTGGGTTAACAGAGATTGAATGGCTTAAAATCACCCACGACCTTTTGTGACTGAAGGTGGATTTGAATCTGAGCTTCCTTGGTGCTTGTCCAATACCTTAATCTCTTCACCACACTGGCTCTCTAATGCTGTGTCAGTTACCAGCTTTTGCAATCAGTAGATTCTACATGTGGCCACAATGTCATATTCGAGACATTTAGAGTAGTGATTGCTGTAGAATATTTAACTAAGTCTTTCTGAACACACCAAACCCTGCTATATGAGAGCAAGAACATGGTCCTAAGAAAAGCTAATGGAAATTCATGTACAGTATTAAGATTTTTGTTTTAAGATTGTAAAACTGTTTCATTGCATGATCTTATTTAACAAACACGTTTTGCTGGCTTCAAACTTCTTGGCCATAGGGCCGCAACCTAAGGTGATTCTTCCCTTTTAACTGACATTCAGGAAAGTATCAAAATCATCCTGAACTGACTTCTAAGCAACTAGGCAAACTCTTCAAAATCTAGGGATTGTCCAGCTACAGGGCAGAGTTAAATAAGTTCCAACTGAAAGCATATCTTTTTTGATCCCATCTTACTGAGACATAAAAAGCTTCCTCGCTTATAGAGCTAAGTAAAGTTTTGAAAGGAGAAAAATGGATCAATTTTGACTCTGAATATAATATGAAAATTATATGGTAATTGTTATGCAGATAGACAGCAGTAGGGTATATTATCTTCAACAAAAAATGGGAATGAGAAAAAAATGGGAAAACATTTTTATTTATGTTTCCACAAAGACAAAGAAATCATTTTTAAGAGAGAGAAGAACGATGTTGAAAATCCTTCTATTGAAACTGTGGGAAGGTGGAAATAGAAGAGAAAAATAGGATGGAATTATAATAAATAAAAAGTGCACTAGCAAGACTGACTTATTTGTATCTTTGTACACTTTCCTAGAAATAAATACAACTCTGCCTTTGTGGCTTAGTCTCAAGAAGAGAGCCTAGACTATAACTGTCATCCTGGAAACTCACTGGCATAACCAGAGCAAAAGCTTCTTAGCAACCGGTTTTTAAGTTGTTCTGCCAGTCATTGAGGAAGTAATACAGTGGTACTTAAAAGCTTATGAATCCATTTTCCTCAATAAATAAATTAACAAGTATAATGTTTTTGATGTATTTGTTTAATTGGTTCTCTTTATCTACTTTTGGGTTGTGTGGAGAACATATCAAGTCTTTAGGCCACATGTATGCAGAAATATTGAAAATTCAGAAGGTTGCACAAACGCTTACATACCACTGCATATATCAATCTAAAGTATATCCAGTGATGGCTATATTTGCTATAGATTTGCCCAGTTCTCATGGAAAACCTTCGGAATTGCTAGTCGTCATTGTATCCATATAGTTTAGTCAGGCCTGATGAATATCTGCAATGGCTGCCATAGTTGTAGTTTGGGTTTTCATCCTCTTGAAAACCTCCATCCTGGGGAATGTGGACCTTCAAAATGTCAAGTCATTTGGTGCACATCTTTACAGTGTTAAGAATGACAGGGCTCCTAGTTGCTCGCACAATAGTGATGTTCTATACAGTTCCTCAAGACACTTTTGGGCTCCTGCTTAAAGAGATTCTGCATCTCTTTTTGGTGTGTGAGATAGCCAAACACTGAAAAAAAAACATCAGGCTTGTTTTGGCACATCTTGTTCCACTTTGTTGGTGCCTTTGTAATTCAAATGCACATTTCCCTGGGATTGCTCAGCAACTGTGTGACCCAGCCTCCTTAAGGAGGCACTAGGAAGCACAATGTTTATGATTTCTCAGTGTCCCATGATAGGATTGGTGATGTGAGTATTTTAAAGGTACCATTAGCCCTAGGATCAATGTGGCAAAGTCAAAAGAATTTAAAAGGTTAATAGATTCTTGATCCAGTCCATATAATTTACTTTTTCAGGTATGCGTGTGTTATTTTTTCTTCTATTTTTTCTTTATTTAAAAAATACAAAACTCAATTTTTTAAACAAACAAGACAAAACACAAAAAACAAAATATTTAAAAAGTGCATTAAAAATGAAAAAAAACAAACATATACACACATATTATCCCACCTACCGTAGTTGAATACTGATTAATACATTACTACAATATTAGTTCCCACTCTTTGCGGAAACAGGCCTCCCCAAACTTTTTAAACTATTATAGCTACTTGCAATTATTAAGTGTGTATGTGTGTATTTTTAAACAATATTCTGTTTGATGTGGAATGACAGTTCTGCTAAATAAATATGTGGACTCCCAAAGCCAGTCATCCTGCCCACTGCATTAGGGAAGATTGTTCTACCAAATACCAAATTCTGTTTCAGTCCCACTTAGCAACATTTTGCCATGCCTATTTCTTTAGGGAACAAGAGATGGAATGTGTGCAGCAGAGGAGGAGCAAAAGTATAGGGTGATGTATTATGCATGGCCCATTGCACAACACATCTATTTCTAATTCTGACATGTTGGCAGGTATGGTTTAATTATGCATTATGTTCAGAAGTACTTCCTTTCATTAGTCCTGAATCTCCCCACATTTCATTTGTAAGAAAAGAAAAAAGGAAAACTTCCCTTTATATATTATACCTACATTTGCCAATATGAATTAGAAAAGGAGTAGAGAGGGAATTCAGAGACAGTTGAATAGTTTGGTTCAGTTGAGTGTGAACTTACAAAAAGTTAATCATGGTCCTGCTTGCCCTACATAACTGGCATATTAATTACTCCTAATTAATTCACTCATCTTTGTATGCTGGCAGCAGACAATCCAGGATGACTGGAATGGTCAAATGGAAGCCATGTTCTTCTAGATTTTGTAATGGAAACTTAGAGGCTGTTGCTTCACTCCCAATTGCCTATGCTTTTTTCCCTTCAAGTGAGGTTTTTTTTTTTTTTTTTTAAACATTTATACAGTCAGGAATGGCACTACTGTAGACAGATTCTGGGGGACCTTATTTATTTTGGTCCTCCTAGCTCTTTCCCTGCTTGTGGCTATAGAAGAGAGAAATGATCAGAACAGCCACATATGGGGGCAAAATTTTTGCTATTTTTGCAAATTAATAGAATAAACAACCCTCAGAGAAGCATTTTTCCTAACAACAATGAATAAGCTGATTTAGAGAAATTAGTTTTGTGCTTACCAAGACTAGAACTGTTTGAGAGTAAATCTAAGCTGCTGTGGACTAAATTGATGGGTAATCACCTAATGATTCATTTAAAATATAATGCAAATAGGACCACAGTGGGGACAATTGTGCTGAATTCTAGCTTAGACATCATCCAAGGCCAGATTGGATAATTGCATACAATTCCCTCTAGCATGAAATCTACCAGTTTTTTCTTTATGCTACTTAAGTGAATCAGCAGATGAAGTAATACTTGACAAAGCAAAGCAAAAGGAACAGTCTCTCTTTGTAGACCTTCCAATTCATAGGTCAGGCCTGTAAGCAGGAACAAATCGCCACACCATCTACGAACGGCATACATCACAGCAACATTTATTACTTCAGAATCAAAGGAGATGCGGGTGTTACCATTTATAGCTTATAGATTTATTATCCTCAGCCTATTGACATCAAGATGAATTGGGTGTATGACTCCTATTATTCTTAGCAAGCATGGCCAATCATAGGAGTTCCAGTAGTTGAAGTTCAAACATATTACATTATATGTAATTATGTAAAATGGGGAAAAACAATAGCAAATACATTCGAATTTACAAGATGAATCCCATCCAAATTTATACCAATCCCCAAGTTTCTTTCCTTGCCAAATGACATCCTTGTTCTTCTGAATAGTAATATAAAATAAATATTTAAACATTTCTATCACTACTGATGAAGATGATACTACTCAAATTCAAATAAACCTTATGAAGATAGATTGTCCAATAAAGGAGTATATTTGTATCTAAGGTCGAAATGAGGCATTTTTGGTGCACTCTGAGCTTGGTTGTTTTCTTGCAGATGTTTTATTACCCAATCTTGATAATATAATCGATGCTAAACTCTTCTAGCCATCTAGATTCTTTTTACTGGGAAGAATTATACCCAGGATAAGATGTTTGAGGAACATTGCACTTCCTTGTTTTGAGATGTGTTCTAAATGTATTAACTTCTTGACAAAACCAGGCAAGACTTAAATTCATATCTCAGAGAAGCTGTTTGTTCTTGTGGATGCAGTCTTTCCTTTACCAAAGGCAATAGAGCTGCTTATTGTATGCAGCTTTTAAACAACATAATAGCAGAGGCTTCTTGGATAAACAACACTCTTATAATTTTCACTGCTCAGTAATAATCATAATAATAGAACCTAATTCTAAACTAATAATTTTCAGCGTCAACCCATTTTTCCTAATGACCAATTAACAGAAGACTTTTCCACAAGGCCCAGTTTCTATCCCCTAATTCCTCCAAAGCAGTATAAAGATCTGTCAATAATCTCAGCTCTGCCAGCTCCCGAATGCTGAGCAGAATAACTCAACTAAAACTCTCCCTCCAGCTGACCAATAGAAGCCTCTAGAAAGCAGCCTTCCATTAGTTCACCTCCATTCCACAAGACAGAGAAATGAAACATAATTGTTAGTTCCTCTTCCATGTTTTCTGTACATATTGCATACTTTTATCTAGGCTTTTGCAAAGAAATCTAAGCATCTGAAATATGATGAAGCTTTTCTGCTGCCAAGCCACCATTCTGTCTGTATTAAAAAAATCTCATTCAGAACAGTAAAGATGATAGGATATCATGTATCCATTTTGCAAACAAGTCCTTTTTCCAGGGCTTCTAACAATGGTGGTAGACTTGAACAAGGGCTGATGTAGGGTAATAAATTGTAAACAAAATGTGGACCTGCAGAAACTTCAATTCATTGTAATGGCATTTCAGAAATCAAGCTGCAGCAAAGCACTTTTCAGACCCATTTATCCCTGTCAGAAGAAAAGGGGGAAACCATTTCTTAAAATACAGGTGACAGCATGTATGTCCTGCACTCTTTCTAGACACACTTTCTAAATCCATAACCAAGGAGAAACCTTCTAGAATAGTGCTTTGCAGTAATTCAAAAGTATTACAATATGGTTGGGCTTTCTCTTATCAGGGAGAGTTACAGCTACCAAACAAGGCAGTGATAGTTCAATGCACTCCAGGATACCTTGGGTGTCTGAAATGAATCCTACAATACACTAAAATGGCACTTGCTTTTTCAGGGAATGTCACCCCACCTGGGTTCAAAGAGCTTTTTTCTCCCCCCCCCCAATTTATTATCCCTTACCCAATACATCAACACATTTGGACACTGGTGTAGATCACATTGATGACAAAGATAAATAGAACTGGTACCATCAGCATGTCCTTAATATCCACTCCCAAACTGCTTTATGACCATATCCAACAACTTCATCTACATAATGAAATCCTCAGAGCCTATCTAGAATGGAGGGGCGTAGAAATCTGGGTAATTAAGAAAAGAACCAGACAGCCAGAAAATTATCACATTTATGCTGGTGCAAAATATGGTTGCATTTAGTCTGTTCTCTTTTTATCTGCCCTGATTTTCAGGTTATTTGCAACTGCAATTCAAGGTGAAATAAAAAGAAGCCAGACAGTTGAATGAAAATCTGCACACAAAAGAATAATGAATGAAATGAGTTTGGTGATAGTGATTCAGGGCATTCTACTGAAATCACTGCTGTTTGGGATAGCACTCAACTTTTTCAGCAATTATGAGGATGAAAGTAGTCATGGAAAAGTTGTAAAATTCAGAACTGAGCTGAAACTATGTAACATTTAAGGCAATAAACAGAGTTAAACATACAGCAGTATCATGAAAATCAACAATAATAAAGAACCAGGCAGCAAAAGCAAAACTTATGCCATGGGACAATAATTAGTAAACAGCACTATTTAAAGTTGGGATAGGTGAGGAAACCTTATATTTCCTGCTCCCCCAACTAATCCCTTATTCAGTTATTGTTTTATGCTGTTCGTAGAATTTTATAGAGTGGATTCCAACTATTGCTGATTTCTCACTGACCCTCTTTTTTGCTTTTCACAAATATCTCTTACAAAAACAAGGGGACTTGCCATTTTGGACCAGTAGTACTAGAATTCTCTGCTTAGAATTATGCTTAAGTGA